AAAATTGTTCAAAGAGAAATCAGAAAAGTTTTCAGGCTTCAGACTGGATGTTCCTCCTGAAGGACCACATAAAATAAATAAATGTGTTTTCCTACCCAGACCAAAAGTCCCCAGGGGCAGTGGCTTTTATTTCAGCCATGTGTCTTGTCACAAAGAACTCTGGACATAAGTATCCCGTGTATCTCTATTAAAAATTAATCCACCCAGGTCAGCTGACATCACAGCAGGTCAGAGATAACAGAGGGAAGAGCTGTATGCTTGCTACCTAAGTGATAAAAAAGAGGAGCTCCTGGGGGAACTCAATTCAGACACCACAGCACACGTGGAAATAACGGAAATCCACTGCCGAAAGAGGGAACAGAGCGCTAACGCTAATGCGGTTGTTGGGACATAGCTACTCTCTGTGTAGCTGGCTGGATCCATTTATGATACTAATGAAAATTGAGGTGATTTATTTCTAAGAAATCTTCACAGAATTAAGGGAGCCGAAGTTTTCCACATCTAACTTCTAACGCTATTATTATTTGGAGTCATTACTACTGGGCATAGTGTCATCATATAGCTTTCAAATGCTAGAAGGTACTGCACATCCCAGACACAGAGAGAGGTCAGTCCCAATGGATAGGGATCTTTACTGGGGGAATTATTTTATAAAGTTTTCCTTGGTGTTTCAAAATTTAATCTTCGAACACTGGTCATTCTATTCAATTGTTCAACCAGAGGTCCTCAAACTATGGCCCGCGGGCCACATGCGGCCCGCCGAAAACATTTATCCGGCCCGCTGGGTGTTTTTGCCGCTGCTGCCTGTCCTCCTTAGCAGCCGACTCGTCCCGCGCCCGCAGTGCGCGTGTGTGGAATGTCTGAGGGACAGTGAACTGGCCCCCTGTTTAAAAGGTTTGAGGACCCCTGGTTCAAACAATGTAGCAAACTATCAGAGTTAAAAGGGACCTTAGTCATCAACTTTATTAATCCAAATTTAATTCTTCTACTTCATATATTTGCATTGCTCCTATCTGCCAAGTGAATAAGCAGGCCTGCAATAGCTTCATTTAAGTTATTAATAAATGTGTGACCCAGAACAGGGCTGAGGACTTACTGACTTTGATTCATCCACCTGCACATTTAAGCAGAGCTGCTTCACCAGTTACTAATTCCCTATTCTCCCTGACTGTCTTCTGTCCCTTCCGCATCTCTGACAAGGCCGTCACTAGTCCCCATTAAAGAAAGGACAGGGAGGCCTCTTCAAATGCACCTCTGCCCTAACACAGAGAGAGAAGGAAGGGAAAGAAACGAAAGAAACAAAAGGAAGAAAGGAAGAAAGTTGGTGTGACATGATCAGTCCTTGGTAAATCTGTGCAGGACCTAGTGATTACTGACTTCTGTGTTCAGAGCCATCCATGATTATTATGTAGAAATGGGCTCAGGTTTCAAAGAGGGCACTTCAGCTGTTTTTTCTTTTTCCCTGAAACTGTACTTGGAAATGTTTATGAAAGACAGTAATAACATCAGCTAACATTCACATAGTGCTTTTTAAGTGCCCACACTGTGATGAGCACTTTGCATATAATAGCTCATTTAACCCTTGAACAAACTTACTTAGTAGATACTATTATATCTATTATTTATTATTATTGGCTGTTATAATTATTTAAAGATGGGGAAGGTTAGGCCAAAACTGAGGCATGTTTACTAACAACACTGGTTAAGTGGAGGAGCCAAGATTTGAACCCAGGATGTGCCTGGATCTTCACCGTTATGGTCTACTGACTGCCAGGATACAATGCTTAGAAAGGGGTGAGAGAGTGGAAGTCAGGAGACTTTGTTATATTGAATCATCATTTTGATTCTTTTGGTCTCAACTTTCTTATCTGTATAATGGGAAGGTTCAACTGGAAGATCTTTACGATCCCTTGCTGCTTTTCTATCATTCTTTCAGAGAATTATTCTTTCCAAAGTTATTTTCAATACATAATAGTGGTGAACAAGACATATGGCATATTCTATGCCTTTAAAAATGTTGTCTTAAAATTAATTTCACCAGGACAAATCTAATAGAGTAGATTTCAGTGCTTCCACAAATGGATTCTCCCAAATCCACATGAACTGGTTGATTAGGAACATTCTAACTATGCAACTTCGATGAGCTTTAAGTAATAAAAAAATACTATATCTATGTACTTATTTAATTTTGGAGAGTGGGAATAATAATAGTGATGATAATGATATGTGGATAGATCAATTAATGTGTCCTAATAAACAGCTACATATGGGGAGGGAGAGGGAGAGAGAGAAAGTACATATCATTTACCTGCCAACAACCATGATTAGACTCTGATCCTACATTCCCTTTGAGAGGGTTCCACTCTAGGTAGCCTACAGAATATATGTATTAGTTTCCCTTCACTTTTTGTTTTCCTGGTACAATGTATTCCAGAAACCAGAGAAGGTCATTTCCACATGTGATGGTCATTAAGTACTGTCACCCTTGATATTCTACAATTCCACATGAATGAGAGAGTATGAGTTATGGTGTGGGAATGGGAAACAAACAAGCAAACCAAACAGAGGGGTTACTCCAAGGGAGGCTCGGAGACTGGGGTAGAGACTGATAGATGGATATTGACATATGGTTTTGGTAGCTATTACTTCCACTTACATAATTTTGTTGCACTGATTTCACATTCATGGTTAAAATTAGTGCAGAGTTTATTCCTTACTGGAAAGTCACCATTTTGTTTGTTTCTTATTGAAGCTATAAGAAAGATGATATTTTAGTGATTGGACTTACTGCTCTCATCTTAACTATACTTCATGCAAAAAATCCTTTATTTTAACTATACTTTTAACTATGTTACCGTTATAATATATGTAACTTGAAATTGAAAATAAATATATGATAAAAATGGCCACTGAAAGCTATAATCAAATGATCAAAACAGTCTTGAAATGAGCCTATGTAGATTTTTAAGATATGCAAGTTGAATGACAAATGCAGGAATTGATTTAAAAAAAAGTTAAAGCATTTTATCTCATAAACTACATGGATAACACTACTTACATTCCTAAGCCTATTAAAAATATATTTTTCCCAATAAGCTTTTTCTTTATTCTATCTAGTTTTCCAATACAAAATAAAAATGTTGGGGCCTTCGTATTACTATTATTTATCTGGAAGAAAGTTCTTAATATTAAGTTGTGAAATAATTTTGAGGAAACTATAAGTTAACCTTCAACCACTCTGGGGAACATTTTCAGCTTTTTATTTGCCTGTTAGACTATGTTTGAAGAGATTATAAATTTATGATTAACCAAGATAAAAATAATCAAACAGTCCATTTTAGGAGGAAGAGGAAGAACCTACCTGCCTCTTTACTGACTAAATCATCAAGACAATGTGGTTAATTTGAATTCTGACCAAAAATCCTAGTTCTTATTAGAGCTTTATGTTAATGTTATGGGGAAACCATATTACTGAAACCCAAATACAGTATTTGTTTTGACTACTGCTTTTTTCTTTTATTGGGGCAACAGTGGCTATTATGGTACTATTTCCGGGGGGGGGGGGGGGGGGGGGGGGGGGGGGGGGCGGAGAGGGAGGAG